TATGATAGTTAGACACTCAGGTATATGGGAGGGAAGATCAACAGTAGGGCATGGAATTTTATGGCGGGCATGACTGCCAGCACTAGTACTGTACCTCACCTTTCCCTGTAGGAAACCCTGCAGGGGAAAAACCAGGCAGTAGAGTACTGGACCTCTACTGACTGCAGTGTTCACAACCTTCTTTCATTTGTTTCTTCCTTTCCTGTTTGTTGTATCCATTTTCTGCCTCTCATCTTCCATTTCCACTGTCAGTTGTTTGATCAATCAATCGATTTCTTTCACTCTCTCCCTCTCCTTCCTTCTCTCTTTCTCTCCTGCCTTCTTTTTCTCTTTCTTTCTTTCTCTCTCTCTCTTTTCTTCTTTGTTTTAACATGTTACCACTTTGCTTGTTGCAAAGGGACTGATTCAAATCTCCAAGCAGTAGCACACATCAGCAGTGCACCAATAATAACCTATCAAAAACAATCAGTTCTCAAAGCCAATTTGACAGCAGGAAGGGAATCAACTTTGTTTCTGCATCCACTCTTTCCTCCCAATATTTGAAATTCTCCGAACATTTTATCACAAGGAGAATATCTGCCATAGTGATAGAATTATATGCGCTGTTAACATTATTTTCTTTCTGAGCCAATACATTTTCAATATGAAATTTTATAGGATTTTCCCAAACACCTGCCAGTGAAACTTTCAAGGAGTTGTTAGCATTCTGATAAATGTGTATGGGTCTATAACCAAGTAACTGGAATTAAAAGGATTTGGCTCTTGATACATTTTGAAATGGAAAGAGTCCTTTGTGGATCATTTCTGCAATATTCTAAAAACAGTCTATACAGCAGCTGCAATATAAGCATGCCATTTAAGATCATGATGGTCATGCAGGTAACCCTGGTTCTCCTAATCTCCCCTTGGTATCCAAGCTTTCTGATACTCTCATTCGTCATGTCTCGTCTATAACTTGGTTCCAGATTTTATGGCCCAGTACAACCACTCTGCACTAAGGGGCATAAAAGGGCCAGAAACTAGACTGCCTTACCCTTTGCTGCACCCATCTCATGGTATTAAGGAGGACGCCCTCACCAAGAACCCTGACTGGTTTCAGCAGGGGCTCTGCCTGCCTGAGGACTGCGAAAGCAGATTGTTGTAACTTGATACTGGAAAGCTGTGTTCCCATTGAACATTGCTGGATTTGTGGGTGCTCAGCTCTCTCCAAAAACCAGACTGTTGTTCTCCACGGGTACATTCTTCACTGTATTCTTACTTAAGTATTGTCCTAATCTGAATCTTGTCTATGCTCAAAAACTCCGGCATGGGTATGGTGATGCTTTACACCTAAACTGGCTGGCCCAGCTGATGATATAGGTCAATGATTCTCATCCAGGGTGCCTCAGCACTCTTTGATACCTTTAGATCCTTTCAATGGGGTTTAGGGGCTGCCATGTAACACTGGCACTGTTAGATGTATAAGCATGATTCACAAGATAAACCCAGAGATTTCAAATAGGAATCCATTGTGTTAAAACCATTCTGACCTGCTGTGGTCTTTCTGAAATCTTTGCAACAGAATTGCTCTACTATTTTTCTGTAGTGAAAAAGTGAGTGAGCTGGTATTTTCTAATGGGTGCCTTGAGTTTAACAAGGGATGCCTTGAGTCTACAAAGGCTGAGAACCACAGGTATAGGCTCAACCTGATGCGCCCCAGTTTTGGAGTACTAACACCCTGCAAGGTCTGATGACATGTGAAGACTGGCAACAGAATAATTAGATAGGCAGGTGGGAGAAAAGGCCCGGCAAGTTCCTACCGTTGTTCCTGTGGGATAGGGCTGTTATTTGAAATGGTGCATGTAGATGCAAAAGGCCGCTGACAGGAAGAAGCCATCTGTATGTCAGTCCTCAGCAAAGCAGGATTGGTGCCCATGGTACTGTCAGATGTCACAACAGTATGGTTAAGGCCTTCTTTGTAACTTCGAGATTCTGTAGCAAATGAATTGAAAGACATGTTTTGCTTTTTTTAAAATCAGTCTTCTGAGAACTCAAGCACAGATTCCATAAATGCATTTGCAAAATGCCCCTGTCCCTCCTGCTCAATGTAACAGGAGACGTGCTGTAGATTCCATACCTTTATTTAAAATCTTAGCTGTTGTCATTACACTTAAAGTTCCAACTTTACCTTACCTTAATTGTTGTAAATTTCTAGCAAAGGAACAATTGAGAGAGAGAGGGCAAATGGCACAGAACTGCACTACTTTAGTTGATTGATTTACCGTCCAGGGTACGTTCTCTAACCCTCAAGATGTGAACAGATAAAAATGAACTATTTAAAATTCTTTCCCCCATTCTTCACTCTCCAACGTAAGACAGATGTTTTAATTAGCAGCATGTACAACATCCTTTATCCATTCATCAGATACCTAAGCTTCCTATCACTTAGCTACTGAGGTACATCCTCTTAGTCTAGTCTTGTCCATTGAGAAAAGATAGTAGGACACAACTGAGGTTAAAGGGCACTTGAGAGGGACTTGGCAGATCTGTGTTTAGTTCTTGGGACTGCTGAAGGCTTTTTTCAACATCATTCGTGATCAACCTCAGGGGAGTGGCTGCACCCCCCCTTTTGGATTGGACCACAGTGCGGGGGCCTCCGGGACTTTTAAAAGTTCCTAAAGCAGGTGAAAATACTTTATTTCTTCCCCTTCCTACTCAGAGAAGCATCCTCTCCCTGCCCCTTTCCTCCCCATCCCTGCCCCTCCTTCTCCTAGCTTCTGGTCATGAGAGCAGAGAAGCAACAGAGCCATTCCTGCCTGCTGTCAAGGAGCTGTGCTCAGCTGGGGATGGGGACAAGGGCAGCAGGGATGGATAGGGGCTCCCCCTTTCCCACACTGGGACTAGGCAGGGTGGGAGAAACTCTTCAGGAACTTTCCAGTTGCCCTGTTACCACTGTCCCGTCCCTAGCTGAGCCCAGGCCCACTCTGCCTTGCTGGCTCTGAAACTTCTCTGCCCCTTCCCCTCCCCGGTGGAAAATGCAGCAGGGGCAGGCAGGGGAGAGGGGGGTGGTGGGAGGGAAAGAGGTGGAGAGGGGGCCATCTTTGAGCATCAAGGGGAAGGGATGGGGTATTTTCACTTACTTGAGGGCTTTAAAAACTCCCCAGAGGCTCCCACAGTGTGATCTGTCCACACTGGTGGGGCAGAGGAGGGTGGGAGCAGGGGGTGCTGATACACCTGCAATAAGGGTTACCTATCTTGCACCCCACTTTAGGAAACCCTGGGTCCACCCCTGAACCACTTACACAAAGGAAAACATGTAACCCGCCTTGAACAGAAAGATGCCATTAGATAAGCGTGAGACTTATGTTCTTATCGTATACGTGTGTCCACACTGGGTTTAAGAGCTTAAGTGCTAGTTTCAAACTAATGTAATTTTAAAGCAACACAAAGCACTATGTGTAGACAAGCTCTTTGTTGAATCTGTAAAATTCTCATGTAGACAAGGCCTTGCACTCTGATCCTACAAACACTTCAGGATTTGAATAAGTTAACATGCATGAATAGTTCCACTGACCTCAACCTTTGCAAACTGGAGCCTAACTACAGAGATTATATTATAATCTCCAGTTAACTGCTATCACTTGAGCCCAGAGATGTAAAAGAAGTTGGAACAAAACACGAAAAAAGCACACCCTGGGGAACAATCCAGCATTGGCTCTGGGGAACATTTAAGATGAACCAATAGATCTTTCCCATATCTAAATATTTATGATTCTGTGAAGAGGAAAAAGTAGAGGCTCTTATCCTTGTAAACTGAACTGCAGAACCAGCCTAAAACACAGTCTTTCTTTACCTTCAGTTCACAGCATAGCAAAGTGGTTATATCAGTTGAAAAAGGTAGATGTAGGTACTTAAAAGAAATGCCTGAGATAACAAAAACTACAAAATCAATGCTCTGAGTGAAGACTATTTGAATTCTTAACATAGCGCACATACTGTAGGGAGTAGCAAGGTGCTAACCCCCAAAATTTAATTTCAGAGAGAGGAAAAATGTATTTGCAATTACTATACTCATTGGAAAAATCAGGTCTACAAACTGAACTCTGAAGATATTTCCTACTTCTAAGAAAGGGGGAAATTTGAAAATTCTGAATCCGCACCTGCTGTAGAGCTGCAGAGTAGATTATGATCTTGTTTACACTGGTACAAATATGGCCAAATATCAAGCCTCTAATGTCAAAGCACTGTAGGCCCAATTCTACAGGGCTGATTTTGGCTTGGCTTCTGTTAGAATCAACAGGATCCATCTACACTAGTTTTTAAAGGTGCAACGTTACAGGTTCAAGTTGGATGGTTTTACTGTACATTAAAGTATAATTTCTTTGCCTCACCTATTGTTTTAGAAGGTGTTATCAGTAATTAGGCAGAACTACGTAACTCAACCTAACATCACATCTTTAACATCTGCTCTAGATGAGACCTCCTAGATAGAGGTGCACTGACATATCAGTTGCATATTAGATTGGCACCAATAAAAGGAAAATTAACATTATTGGCAGTTGGCTTTTTTTGGTTGGTGTCGCCAATAATGTCACCAATAAATGCTGTGTGCATGTGCGCAGCTGCAGCATGGGTGTGGCCAGGAATGCAGCCCAGCAGCTTGGAGAGCAGCCTCCTGACAGTAAGTCTGTGGAGGGGAAGGGATGGGGGAAGGAAGAGACATGGTGGGGCAGATTGAGGTACCCATGGTGAGGGAGGGGCTGGGGCAGGGGCAGGTGCTGCCCAGCCAGGGTGGTGAATGGACCCCAGGGTGGGGTGGAGCTGTGGGCAGCTCGTCCGGGGGGTGCAGGGGGAAGGTGGGCACAGCTCCCTGCCACTGTGCACACCCACAGGAGAGGCATAGGAGGCATGTGCCCCCCAGATTTGTGCACAGCCTCTTCAAGGTGGGGGCTGGGCTGGAGCTGCACTTGGGGTGAGCAGCAGCGCTACAAGGGGGACTATGAGATGGGCTATAGCCACCCCAAAATTTGCTATAGCTCCCCCACCCAGGGCCACTGCCACCTGCTCCACCTCTGCCTGTCCTGAGCACAGCCCTGGCCCAGCCTGCCTCCCACTACTCCTCCCCCTCCCACTACTGGGATGAGGCCAGCACAGCCCCTGGCCCCAAGCACACAGTGGGCAGTCTGCCCTCACCCTGTGCACAAATCTGGGGGGTACATGCCCCCCATGCCTCTGCCAGGGGTGCGCGCAGCAGTGGGGAGCTGCCCCTGCCTTCCTGCCGTGCTCTCCGGATGAGGTGCCAGCAGCTCTACCTCATGCCCCACCCCACCCCAGGGTCCATTCACCACCCTGGCTGGGCAGTGCCTACCCCAGCCCCTTGCCCCACTCCTTTCCTCACTGTGGGGGCCTTGATCTGCTCCTCCCACACCCCTTCCCTTCCCCACACCCTTCACCACCACAGACTTACCAGCCGGACACTGCTCTCCAAGCTGCTGGGCTGCACTCCTTTAAATAGGTTATCAGATCAGTATCAGCTGACATAGCTGGTTAAGCAGCCATTGGTATTGTCCAAGAAAATCTTTCTTGGTGCACCCTTACTTCAAAACCCAACTGTTCTTCCCCAAGCTAACAGGTGATGACTCCTGGCACAAGGCAATACCATGAAGATACTTGGCAAGCACAGCACTACACAGGGCTTGAAAGCCCATTTACATGGATTCTCCTGGCTGGCTGTTACACTTCAATTCTGCAAAGAACCTGTGGGTGTCTTCAACCCTGCACATAGCAGGCTGGGAGCACAACAAGGGTAACTGTAGACAAGGCCTTAGGAATGCAGTTACAATAAATTTTAGGAGGAATGGAATTTTTGAAACATTGCAAAGTTTATTCCACTCCAGTGCCATATCAGCAAAGTGAAAACAGTCAATCCAAAGCGGTCAAATGCAACAAATAACCACATTTTTTAAAACTGATAACAATGTTTGTTAAAGGGAGAAAATCAGGGCTTCAACTTTCACTGCTTTGAGACTTTAGCAGTCATTTAGGCCTCTGTAAAGTGAACATATAAATGGGTATAAAACACCGTTGCTTTGATTTAAGTAGCATTTTACATCAACCTTACATGGAAATAAAAAACTGAACAAGGTGAAAAGCAGCAGAGAATCAGCCTTTGCAATCTGCCAACACAATGTGATCTCCTTTTATTCAGCTATTCCCATGTCTGGTCTCAACAAATCAAGAGGCACACCTCCCACAAAAGCAGCTTTGTTTTTAATTCAATTAAAAACAAGCCTGCTGTGCAGTTCAGCTACAACCTCTATTGTGTGATCTAGTGTCCACACTTACCCGACCAACTGTTAACCCTGTAGCTCAAGGGATAGTTCATCTACACAGTATTGTAGTTTCTGTGAATTCTCATACTTGTGGTAAGAAACTGTGTTAGCAACTGTTTGTCTGTAAAGCATTGGTGCTTGTAATAGAGTGCACCTGTTAAAGCTGTGCCCCTGGATCTCTTAACATGCTGACAAGTTAAAAGCCCAGTACTACTTCAGGTCAAATTTGCACAGTTTACAGATTTAAAAAACATGTTTTTTTATAATGATCAGTGCTACAGCCTTAGAGGCACACTGGATTTTTTGGCAATAACAATAAGTCTGCAAGTAGATCCTAGGTAAGAACTGGGGTAATACATGAGCCAGGACATAGCCTTTGTAATGCTAGAAAGAGTAAGTAGTGGGTTCTTTTTGTTGCAACAGTATGCGGATGATTTTGAATAAACATAAGAAACAAGAAAGTGGTATGTTTTATGGACTCACTTTTCAGTGTAAACCCTTCTTTAAATAGAAAACACTAAATCTCTTCTCTGTGAAACATTTAAACACTCTCACTGCTATCCCAGGTTTCCACAATGGCAGAGGAGAGAAAAAAAAGTTAGATTTAGCCATTCTTCCTCATGCATCAGCCCTAAAAATAATTCCTTTTCAACCTGACTG